CCAACCAAAAAAAAAAAAAAAAAAGAATACTAGAGTGGGTAACTGTTCCCTTTTTCAGGGGATCTTCCCAACCCAGGGTCTCCCAGGTCTCCCACATTGCAGGTGGATTTTTTACTGTCTGAGCCAGCAGGGAAGCCCAAATGAAAGGATAATCATATATATATATGTACATATATATGTATACACACACACAGATATATGTATATAAATTTCAAGCTGCTTCAAGTTCACTGACACAAAAGGTGTCACTGTATTCCTTGCCATAATAATGTATAAAATAGAAAATATGTATTTATAAAAGATACATGAATAATTTCCTTATTCTATTTTCAATTTCTACTAAATAATCTTTAGTATTTAGTCATTTAAATACATTCTTCAAAGATAACTCAATCAAGCTGTAAACAAAAAATAATGTCCACACTTCTGTAATTTCAAGTATACAAGGAACCAAAACTCACCTAACACTATTTTACTAGGTATATAATTTACTTTTCTTATAGGATATTTCATATGATCATAGTTTATTTAAAAGAATTTATTTACTTAAAAGGAAACAAGTCTTAATACAAATCTTTCATTAACATGCCTTAAAAAAAAGTGTAAAATGTTCTCCTCTTACTAAAATAATCTTAAAAAATGGTTTTGCCACTCTTCATTATAGCCCCAACAATGTACACATTTATTAATCAAGAGATTAGATAAATCTGTTTAAATATCTACTCACTCTATGATCTGATTTGGCTTATATATGCTAAATGATCTCTGTAAACAGGACAAGAACCATCATCTTGTCCAAGCTACTCAAATGCCATTCTTCTAAAAATAATAGGGATGTTGGAACTGGCAAAATTTATCAGAAGTAAATTACCCACCCAAAAAAGTCTACTTACTTTTCAATCCATCAAGGAAAAGGAAGGTACTTACTTTGGAGAGAGGGTGCAAAGGTAAGAACAGCTAATTATATGTCCATGCATACCATTCCTTATCAAAATCTAAATGATCCAAGAGTACCCTCCCCCAAAATTGTAGTATAATTTAACCAAAATAATATGTGAATTAACTCTTTTGAAAGTAAAATAATTTTTTGAATGTTTAAAATAAATTTTTAAAAACCTGCACACAAAAAAATTAAAGATCAGTTTAAACTGAAAGAAAATGCTAGGACAAGAAAATAATTTTAAAAATTTTGTCTTACTGTGACCTAACAAGGTGTGCATTTTCTTCAACTTTAAAATGTATTAGATAATCCTTAACTTTTTCTTGGGGTATATTAATAGTGAATGTGTAGTTTCTCAGTTGTGTCTGACTCTTTGACTGGACTCTGACTGTAGCCCGCCAGGCTCCTCTGTCCATGGGATTCTCCAGGCAAGAATCCTGGAGGGGACTGTCATTACCAGGGGATCATCCCGACCCAGGGATCGAACCTGGGTTTCTTACAATGCAGGCAGATTCTTTACCATCTGAGCCAACAGGGAAGCCCAGGGTATATACGAATATTAAAGTTATATTTCTTCTGTATAAACTAAAAAATGAGTCTGGCAAAGATCACAAATGCACCCATTCTTTTTTTTTTAAAAAGACTCTGTAAATTATGGGAATTTTACTAGTATTAGCATTTTCATTTACTTATATTCCCGATAATTGCCTCAGCAACGGTGGCAGTTTTAAAACACGGTCGGCAAACTCTTTGACACTCTGCTGATTAAAGGGTAGGATCTGTCTACTCCTCCTGAATTTAAGCAGGCTTATAACAGCTTCCACCAATAACGAATGGCAGAAGCAAAGCTGTGTGAATTCCCAGACTCAGTCATAGACAATTGAGCATCTGTATTGTTTGATGGGATTATTTGCATGTGGATCCCTAAGCAACTCCATAAGAAGCCCATTTACTCCACAGTTGCCATGGTCTGAGGATGCCAAACCACACAGAGTGGTCACTGCTAGGCACTCTGGTTTGAAGTACAAGTCTGATATATTCTAGTCTAAGTGCCAGATGTGTGAATAAATGAGCCTTCAAGATCATCCTAATCTCCAGCCATCAAAATCACCTTTGCATCTTCCCAGCTCTGGCCCTAGGCATTCTAGAGCAGAGAAAAGCCATCTTTGCGTGCCCTGTTCAAATTCTTAGCTCAACACAATCTATGAGCATAATGGTTGTTTAACCCCTAAATTTTGTTGTAATTTATTATGTAGTAATAGCAACTAGAATAGCAATTACTATTTTTAAAAATTCAGGATTCAGATTCTAAAGCCAAAATACTATTTTCAACAGCACACACCAAAAGTAGTACTAAAAATACAAATCTAATGAAATATGTGAAGAATCTATATGTAGAAAACTAGAAAACACTGATGAAAGAA